ATTATGTATAGTATTCAAATAAATATATACATAATATGTAGTGTTAAAAATAAACAGATAAAATTAAATATTTATGGTAAATATGCAATGTAACTCTCTCCTCCGATTTTCCTGTAATCTTATAAATTTATGTATTTTTATACATAAAATATATTTTATGAGAAGGAAAATTGTCGCTCTAATTTTTTATTTTTAAAGTTTTTTTGATATTAATAAGTTAGAAAACGATTAATTTAAACGATAATTTAATAATTTATAGCTGCATTATACATTTACTACTATTCTCTGCTTTTCGTCAATTAAAAACATTAATTATTTTCTTATATAATTTAAATTATAGCATAGTTTAATTCAAAATTTATACCTTTTCCATTCTTTTTATATGAATTGAAATTAAGATATCAAAAAACTTTGAAATTAAGAAAAAAGGAAATGAACTTGAGCAACAATTTTCTTTCTCAAAATATATTCTACGCATGAAAATACACAAATTTACAAAATTACAAGAAAATCAGAGAAGAGAGCGTTGTACTGTACTTCAAGTATATATAATTTACTTCAAGTATATATAATTTTGCTAAAATGAAACTTCTGTCTATTATTTATAAATGATTATCTTTAATATTAAAAATCTTTAATATTAAATTATTATCTTTAACAATTAATGTCTTTGAAATATTGTCTGAACGGTTTTCTGATTTTTCTGGTTTTTGATATAGCAGTATCATAATTCGATCATTTGATGAATATCGATTCAAGTTTTATTTATATTTATACTTTTATTTATACTAGATTATGTATCTTTTTGTCGTGTCTGATGAAACAAAACTTTTAATCTTTTACCATGCGCTATTCATTATAATAGTTCATTATAATAGTTATTTTTTCTTATTATAATAATTTTGATATCTTTACGTGATGTTCATATTAATGTTAATTTAAGATTCCATGAATATTTAAGAATATTATAAAAAAATATTCTAAAAAAGTGTTTCAGATGTTTTAGCAAATATCAATTAATTCAATCAGTAATTAAAAATGATTTTATGATGATTATCAAATAATATATCTTTAATAATAATAATAGAGATAATAATAGAGATAGATCAATGCTTATTTTTCTCAATCTGGATTAACTTTAATCTTGATTTAAATTATTTTTCTTTTTTTTAGTTTTAAAAATTAGAGAAAAATAGAATAAATTAAATCGAGATTAAAATTAGTAGAAACTTAAAATTAATAAAGATCGATACGCGCTAATTTTTACAAACTTAAGGCAAAAGCGAATTTTAAAACTATATATTTTTGCTATAATTATATATATATATATATATATATATATATATATATAATTCCTATATATAAATATATATATTCTCATATTTATCCAGTATATACTTTCAGAGTATTTTTACTCTTTTTTTATTAATAATATAGGTAAAATATAAATAATTCCTAAAAAATTATATCAATTAAACGAACTTTTCCGTATTTTTCATTGGCTTTTTATTTTCTTCTTGTTTGGAAATCAAAGAAAATTCTACAATTGCCTTTCTCTTTTCGAGATAAACTTTTTCCCTTTTTCATATCTGGGTGTAGCTGTGTGGTGTTGCATATATATACAATGGCAGACTCCGCTGCCCGGTCCTTACAATCTAAACGCCTAAATGTGAGTCGTCGATTATAAACAATTTCATAGAAAATTTATTTATGTGATTAAAACAACGCATAAGTAAATAGAATCGTAATCGCTAGCTTGTGTGAGCATGAGACGATAAACGAATTTGTACAATTTATTATGCGTGTAATCCTAAAAAATAGTCTTACGGCTATACGATGACACAACTGTTCTCAACTGTTTCTTCCTCCTTTCTTTTCCTTCACATTGAATGGTTACATTACAAAGAAATAGTAATATAAAGTAGCCTTTTTTTTTTTCGACCGTCCCGAATGTGCTCGTCGGATGGCCGATCGTTATCGTCCCTTTTGCTTTTTCATGTAACTCGGAATCATCCGCCGAATGAAATCACGGTCGCGTATTATATGTACATACATTAAATAATAGCATAACATGATGAATGTCGCATGAATTCTAAACCACAACTTACGATTACTGAATGACCGCGAAGTGAAATCTCTTATTTATCTCTATCTAGTTTTTATATTTATGTATATATATGCATATGCATGTACATAGCATGTATTATGTATACATATTATATATATACATATATATATATAGGAAAAAAGATCCTTGATATAATAAAAAAATAAACTTGTAGATGCATATCACACAATGTGAAAACTAAGCCTTTACAATTCAGACTTTCATCTATTCGAGCTCATATCTTTTTAATTACATCATTTTGTATTGATTTCCACCTGTTTTTCTGAAAGCTATTATAAACTTATTCGTTGCATAAAAGATGACACACTTCTGAGTATCGCAAGAATTAAAAATTAAAATGGGATAAATAAATACGCTAATTTTAGAGGCGATCTCAAGTTAAATCACGCATTACAGACTTTGTCTTATTACAATGCTATTTCTGAGAATGAGAATTCGATGATTCAAAAAGAATTAATTTACACATTACTTTATGTTCGCAATGGACATTACAAATTTGTCTTTCTTCTTATTTTCCAATCGATTCTTCCAATCTTCCAATCATTTCTTTTCTTGTAAAAAAAAACGCGAGAAAGAGGCAAGCATTTCATAAAATTCGGATGCGGTTTAATATTCAACACGTTCATTGTTCGCAGAATGTATGAGACTCGTGTACATGTTAATGAGACCTAATATAAAATTCTTGTTACTTGAACGTGTTTAAATGAAATCACATTCTTTTTTAAAAGAAAATTCACATCGACTATTTTCATGAGGTGTTACTGGAAGTGTAGAGAGGGTTTGGAGAGTGACTAAGAACGATGCATATCGTCACGACTGTAAAATTGGACGGCCAGTAAGCATGTTAAAAGAAAAAAGCAGATCTTACAAGATCTGCCAAACCCTCCATTTTCATGCATCAAAAAAGATGACGACGAATAAAAGGGGCTTAATAAACAGAAAAAGTATTATGATACATGATTATATATTATATAATAATAATAATAATAATATAATTGTTAAAAAAGTGAACGTTACTATATGATTTACTTTCCCTTTTTCGCAATAATAGACGGCAAAAATAAAGGTAGATTTTTGTAGATAAAATTGATTGCGATACTATGATACGAGCGGTAAGTTCTGGTCTAAAATTCACACTTCGTACAGCACAATTGGAACTGAAAACTCGTAAATTGCAGTAAGGGAGTGGGAGAGGAAAGGAAAATGTTCACACAACTATTAATAAATAGCGGAGACCGGTGCCTTCTCTACTTTTACATACTTAAGTCTATTCCGAGAGAGTTTCAGTTTTTTCTATGTGTACTGTACTGGCACAAACTGTTCCATCTTCTGTTTTGTTCTCTGTAAAGCGCACTACACTAAATTCATTTTCGTGCACTTCCACTTCAATTCGATTCCATATATGGCTATGTCAGTTCTTTCTTTTCTTTTCTTTTTTCTCTTCTTCTTCTTCTTTTTTTTTTTGATTGACTTATTTCCCTTCTGAGAACTTTTCTCTCAAACTTTTAATCTTGTGGACAAAGTAAGTCTCCAAAGATTCGGCGCATTTAAAAAACGGTGACTCTTTCGGGTTATAATATCGACAGTTATCAAATATCTTCGTCATGTCACCAATGAATTCGCTCAATTTCTTGTAGGATCGGTCATTTATCCTTAATTCAATAGTTTGCAAATCTAAAACAATAAAATGTATATGTATAACCAGATTAAAAAATAGTGTGTGTGTGTGTGTGTGTAAACAAGTCATAAATCATGTATTATAATGTAATACACATATACATATATACATACGTGCATATATACATACATATGTGTGTTATATTAAAGAAAGAAATTATATTTTCAATCATCAAAATGATTTTTATAAAGAGAGAAATAAATTAATAAAGTGATAATCAATGATACTTACCCATTGGTTCTTTTATCACTTTATAATAATCGGGTGCTTCATTAGGATCTACTGGTTCCATAAAAGGCCATGCACTTTTATGAGCCTAAAACAAGTTGTAAAACATATTCTGAATATCTCTTTGAGAAAAAATGTTAATTTTATTAAACATAAGATTTTTAAACTGAACAAAATGTTTTTATATTATGATATATTCTATAAAAACGTCCTTTTTTTATTTATTTACAATCTTTTATTATTAATAAAAATATATTTTATATTAGTAAAGTTTTAAATTAGTATTAATAAAGTTTTAAATCGTTTTAAATAGTTGTCTAAATATTTATTTTTGTCATCTTTTTATTAAAAAAATTTATTTTAATCAATAAAAAAGGACCATTCCATTTATGAACGAGATTTTAAAGAAAATTAAGAGTTTTTTCAAAAATACTGCAGTACCTATGACATACATTAGTCTGAATAAATTAGGCAAATTTATTAGGGTTTACAAAGATAAATTACTAAAAAGCTCACATCATAACGTGATTTACAAAATAAATGGTAATAATTGTGATATGTTATATATTAGACAACCGAGCAGATCATTAAAAACCAGAATTAGTGAACACAGGAATCACATTAATAGCAATCAACAATTAGTTATTATAGAGCATAGAATTAATGAATCACATGAATTTGATTGGAATAGAATCGAAATTTTAGATGAGGAAAAGCATTTACTGAGATTACTTTTGTTTTAATTGTTGCATATATTACTGTTTACATCGTCTGAAATAACTTTAAATTTCTGCACAAATCTTCCTGTTACCGCATATTTGTCTAAGTTTTTAATTATTATTTGTATCTCATTTGTAATTCATAGGATAATTCCTTTAATCTCTTGACTTTTGGATAGGATTGCACCGAAAAAAATTTTTTCTTTACTCCTTTTGACGTGGGAACATGATTTTAATTTCTGACATTTTATTTTTAATTTGGACATACTCTGTTAAGGAATGTTTCGACACTACACATTTTTCCGAACGATTTGAAGATTTTTATTTTCTTTTTTTAAAATTACAATGCTGAGTTTTGTAAGTGTTAATGTTTAATAGTTTATGGTAAGAATTAATAGAAAAAAATTAATAGATTTAAATCCATTATTCTACTAAAGATGCAATAACAAAATCAAAATGTCTATAATTGTTATTCGAATATTGTCTTATTAATATATTTTATTTATATATTAAGAACTTGTGTTGCCTCAATATAGGCATACTCCTTTTTTTTTATTTAATTATTGGAGTTTCTCTCTGTTCTATTATTATTAATGAAAAAGGAACTATACATAATAAAGAAGTTTAAATGACAATTTCTAATATTTTATTTTAATGTATTCTAATTATATTTTAAAAACTTTCAGCGAATCTACATATAGATATATAAAAATAAAAGAATTTATCCGCGAATCATTAATAATATTCCGATAAAGATAATTACCTGTATTTGTTTGATTAGTTTCTTTAACAGATCGAGGTCCTTTGTGTTGAGGTTTTTCATATTAGCGAAGTTGACAGAAGAATTACGCTGGCAATTCGGACAAACATACTCGTCAATATTATCGGCTTCTGATTGAAGAATACCAACACACCGACCGTGGAACCAATCTTGGCATTTGTCACAGCATATATAAAATCTTTAGAAAAAAAAAGAGAAATACATTAGAATTGTTAATGAAATATAATATAAAAAATATAAAATTAGAAATTGATTAGATAATTATATATAATTTTATATTAATGTTATAATTATAATTATATTAAGGAATATATTATATAACTATATTATATAACTATATTATATAACTATGTTATAATTATATTAAGAAAAAACTTTAAAATCTTTTGATTATTACAAGAAGAATAGAAAGAAATACAAGCCTTACTTTTAATTAAATAAAATATTAAATATGTATGATATTTTGTAAAATTTTGTAAAATGTAATTGTACTTTTAATTACTATATTAATTACTTTTATTATATAATTACATTATTATTTTTCTTTACTTTATTATTCTATATTTTCTCTTGTTCTACTAGATTTTTATCTAAATTAACATTTTTTTATACTACATAATACACTTACTGAGATTCGTCGTAAGGCTGTTTACATAGGCAATATAATTCTTGCGTATCTCTAGCATGTCTGCATTCCGTGCAAACGAATTCTGACAAAGATTTGCTCATTTCTTCTGTTATACCCACACAATCACCATGGAACCAATTATTACATAAATCGCATCCCACATAAAATCTTTGAAAAAAGACAAAATATCATTTATTAGTATAATTTTATTGATGATATCTTATAATTGACATCTCTTTTGTACGATTATATTTTTTGATGTTGTTTAATTATACAACTGTTTAATTATACAACAATTATACAACAAAACAACTTAAAATTTAGATATTAACGAAATTTAACTATTAACGATCGCTGATGAAAATACTATGATGGCATACAATTTTCTTTGGAAAAACTTGTCGGTTTACACGTGAGCGCATGCAAGTTAACGATTAGTATATGATTGGTAAATTATATACTATTATATAAATATTATATACTATTATATAAATTGTCAACAATTTATATCATAAACGATAATGAATCACAATCATGACAATTCTTTCTAAAAAAAAATTTCAAAAAATTTTCCAAATTTCTGATAAAAAATTTCCCCCCAAAATTTCTGGTAAATTCAAAGTTTTGCATCTTTTTTCAAGAAGACTTAAAATAAAGATCTCCTAAGATTGTACTTTTTTAAAATAGAATGTAATATTAACTGTTTAAGTGAGTATTCGTGAGTATTCGTAAAAATACGATCGAAAATTTTATCAAACGATGCGATCGTGCTGTTTTTTTATTCGCCCGATTTTTTACTGATATTTTATGAGAGTATTATTCAAGCTCTTACTTGGTCTCGTCGTAAGGAGTTCTGCATAAACAATATAGCTTTTCTTTTTTAATACGAGTTGTGGCCGTTGAGCCACCAGGAGGCGTCATGCTATTACTTTGACTTTTATGTTTCTTCGGTCTGCTACTACCACTTCGATTGGACGGGCTAACTTGTTGAGCCACTTGAGCATTGGCTTTTCGTTTCGCACTGCCTACTTTTACTTCGTCCTGTTTGTGCCTCTCGGCTTTCGTTCTGCTAGCGAGTTCCGCTGATAGGTCCTTCTGCAAGAATATCTGAGACTTTAGGAAAATCCAAACAATGTCGAAAAGTCGACGTGATACAAAATCGTGTTTCCAAATCATTTCAAATAAAATGGTGATATCGTGTCGTGTATATCGTTATGTATATCTATTGTATTGTTATATTTATTCTATTTATCTGTTTATTATGTTTATTATGTATATTTGTCTTTTTCTTCTTCAGTTTTGATTAACTCTATCAAATCAAGACGATTTGAAAGCAAGGTATTTTCTCGTATTTTTCAATTATTTCGTGTCCACATTATCAAGCTAAACTTTCATGATCGTTTCGATATAACATACTTTGATTTACGATGTTCCATTATAAAGATGACATTTTATTAACGAAAATTACGAAATAATAAAAAAAATTTCGTTGAATAATGCCTTGAGAATTGGGAATAAATCCAGCAAATATTTTAGCTCGTATGAATAAACAATACGATTGAATCGTAACAATACGATCGAAATTCAATTCAACAATGTGGACCGTATGTAAAAAAATGTATCACATTATATATTTATCATTTCCCATTGCTATTTTGTAATACTTAGCATTACCTGTATATCGATTTGAAGTTCTTTCTCGAGTAATGCTCTCTTTTTAAGAATGTCTTTTTTAAGAAGTTCCTTATGCCGGAACAATAAAACTTGCATTCGAGAATAAACTTGTTGCTTTCTTCGCTGTTCTTGACTGTCTTTTAATTTTGCAGATCGGTTTTTAGGTGACGATTCGCTATCTAATGCTTCCGATAGCTTCGGCACTCTAGAAGTAATTTTAATATCATTTATAAAAATATATGTTGCAGTTTAAGGTTAATATATCGAACTAATAAGATGTCTGAAGATGTCACTAAAATAATGAAGTTATAATATTATAATAATAAATAACAATGTTTCTTTATTATTAGCATAACTCATTTGAATATATTCGAGAAATGTTTTTTTATCATTATAACATGTAGAAACATTTTTTTCTATCGGTTTTAATTTTACGGTGTAATTGTTTCAGTAGTCAAAAATGTTGTTACATATTAATAACTTATTAATAATTTGTTCTGAAAATTTATGTTTTCTCGCATACAAGCAGTGATTTATTCTATTGAATATACCAAGTACAAATGGAGAGTGAAATGTATGACAAAAGGAAGGATTATAAAAACAAAAAAAAAAAGTTAAAAATTGTGATTTCTTTTTATACTTTTGCTAAGAAAAAGTTAGATACAAAAAAGATTAGATTAAAATGATGTTGTTAACTGTGAGTTTATACATTTGCAAGTTTAATATGTTTTAATAATTAAATATAATCCTGATTATTAGAATCTTATTTTCTCCTCAAACTTTTATATTTATTACATGTTATTAAAAGTTAATTTGATATCAAAATCAAAATCACTTTGCAGAAATTTTACAAATTAAAAATTTTTTTTCTTTTTCATCAAAGATGTTTTCAAATATAATTTAATATAATTTAATATAATTATTCATATATATAAATATACGTCATGTTGTTATAACTTGGATTGCATTTCGAATGTAATAAATAAAATATTTTTACGTATATATTTTAGTCATCCTTGTATATGTTATATTGCATTATACATATATACATTAATCATATATAGGTACACACACACACACAACACACAACAACT